CATTTTGTTACTGACATGAATAGGTTAAAAGACTTTATTAGAACGTCTGCACAATACTTTCCTCAGAAAAGGTTAAACAAAACTTCATGAAAAAATTGTTTGGGCCAAGGCCAAGCATCACATGAGTGTCCGCCTTTTTAAAGATGACTCTAGGGAGGTTATCAAGGGCACTTCACGGACAGTGTCCATTAACAGTGTTCATTAACCTGTCTGAGAATTGGCCTTGAGCGGAGATCTGGCAAATATCAAATGGACTGCTGTGTCTAATACTATTTGAGCCAGTGACAGCTCAGGTGAGATACTCCACCTAAACTGTAGGAAATTCCCCTTCAGGCTAGAGATATTATGGACTTAACCCTCAAGGAGTTAGCATTGAGACACCAATTTATAAAATAACTGTTGCAGGCAGATAAGTAGAATTTGGTTATGTGCACAGATGTGAGTTGCCGTGCATTATATTTCAGAGCAAGTTTTACATTTGTGGTATACCAATTGATAACCAGGTGTTTCACTTTTTCAGTATTGGCAGGCCACTACCTTTCTTAAACTTCTCCACCATGACAGCCATTGTTCCTCAACTTGAATTCCTTTCTGCATGCCCCAAGACTTGACAACTGTCTCTGTTATTTTTTTGGTATAGGATAAAAACTATGTTCTGGAGCAGTAATCAAGTGGTGACATGGTACCGGAGGTTAATCCCTACAGTTGCATATGATCTATGTGCTGGAGGTGTTTTCTAATTGATTACTGAAAGTGGAACATGCCTTGAAAGCAGAAGCATAGTCAACATTACAGCCTGTCCTAATATGCAATCCAATTATATATACTATGTGTTGATCCAAAATCCTCCAAAGCTGTCCCAATATTGAGATCTAGAGGTTATTATTTTTGATGCCGATTAACTCTCATATAAACAGTATCCTGGCCATGCTGAAGATGTTCAGGGTGCCTTGCTGGGATGATGTCCTCCTGTGTTTCGCATAAGCACTCACTCTCATCAGTCTTTGTTTACTTCCCGAAACCCCATGTGACTAGTGACTAGTGACAGCACAGGGTTAGTTAAATTCTCTACCTCCTTTTCTTACTATCGTGAAGGAAGCTTGCACAATGGCAACCTTGAATTAAAAGCAAGGATTGGCTGAGGGCCGCAACTAACGATTATTTTCATAATCGATTAGTTGGACAATAATTTTTTCCGATTAATATGATACAAAATTATTTAAAATATCATCTTTAATTTAAAATAAAATACACAAACGGTGGATGGGGGCAGAGCAGCTAAGTACTGAGCAGAGTTGCGGCAATGGATGGCCGATGAGCAGATAAGTAATGGGCAGAGTTGTGGCGGCAGACGGGGGGAGTGGCTGAGCACCGGGCAGGCTGAATCAACTAATCGATAATGAGAATCGTTGACAATTCTCATTATTATTATCAATTTTGTCCATTAGTTGTTGCAACCCTAGATTGGCTTTTTTGGCCCATGCATGTACAGGATGACTTGTTTGGCTTTAACTAACCACTACATTACCACGACTCTAAAAAGCGACTCTACAGAGCGTGTAATTCTCTAGAACACTGTCAGTTTATGCTACTGACATATATTTTGCAAATACAATTTTTCCCCTTAAAGGTTTGTAATCTGGAAGTTAGCAAAGAGCACAAAATAACCCACAACATTAACAGATTCTAAACCAATGTTTTTATTTTGACCTACATAGCTCATTTCTAGAAGAGAACTAGAGCAAACAAAAACTGTAGCATTCCCATAGCAGCCAGTAAATATTTGCAATCAATTTTCTAACCTATATAAGAAACATCTGTTAGAAGCACAAGACAACAGTCTACAGTAGTGCTAAAAAGTCATGCTGTGTTGAAGATTTCAACCACAGTTTATTGCGGGATTTCACGGGGAATTTCTCTCCCATGTCACACAGTAGTACCACCACCATAAACTGAATTTCTACTTTTGCAACCTATTTTTTTTTAAATTGCTTCTTGCACAATGCATGCTCTATAACGAAAAAAATATATGCATGTTAAAACTTTGGCCAAACCTTTATTTACTAATGTCCTTCTGTCAAAACTCAACATGTAGCGGGCTGACAGTGCAGGGCCGCGCTGTAGCCAGGAAGGATCTTGCTATGGCGCCCTGTGCGACCGCACAGCCCGCACACCCCAAAGGCCGGCCATGATCCCAACAATATTGCCAGGATCCACCCTGCTGCCTAAATTGATAGCTCTCTAGAGGCAGAGGCAGCTGTGTCCACCCCTTCCACTGTATGTCCCTCCAGTCAGAGCTAGGAGGAACAGAGAGGGGAGGGGTGAATCCCCGCAGGGGATGGAGATTGACAGTCACCACTTTCTGCAGGGAGAAGATCGTGAACTGAGCAAATCAGTGGTATGTGATAGAGATGACGTGTGACATCTGCAGTGTCAGACATCGGCTCTAAGTATGGGAATGAGTGCATTTCACTCTCCCTATAATTCTCCTTTAATGAGACCAAGCCCAATCTGTCCCTAATCTTTTGATGGTGACAGAAAGAGTTTCCTGTCACTTAGCAACTGAGGGAGAAGCTTGCAAAAGCAGCTACACAGACACATCTAAAAAGGTAAGAAATCTTTTTTAAATAATTGTTTTTAGGTATGCTGTGTGAATACATATAGTGGGGTTTTCTCAAATTTGACAGCAAAAGTGGAAATACACTTCAAAAACAGATTTAGGGCAGGTGTTGATGGGCTTTTGCTCAAGACTGGTTTCCTGTCCATACAAGTCTATGGGGATGCAAACGCAGCTGAAGCAGGTCAAATACAGGTCAACTGCACCAGCAATGAATTCTAAATGATCTCAAAAGTGTCTCAAACTGAAGTCTGGAGCAAGCTGAATTTTCACATCAAATCCCACTATGGCTGCAACACCTAATCGATTTAATCGATGATAATCAATAAGAATCGTTGTCAACGATTCTCATCATCGATTAGTTGATTCCGATTAGTTCAATACCCCCACTGCCACCGCTCTGCTCCTTCGCTCTCCTTGCTGGGAGCCATTGCATCCTGCAGTCTGTGTCTCCTTTGATCAGAGGGCACACAGAGCGCTGCAGTCGGCGCCCAGCAGGGAGTAGAGACTGCTGTGCCTCTGCATTTCCCCGCTGCTGTCCCTCCTCTGTTGCCCACATGCCTCCGCTGCTGTGCCCCGTTTCTCTGCTGCTGCCCCCATGCCTCCTCTGCTGCCCCCATGCCCCCTCTTCTGCCGGCGGTAGAAAGCTGGCGTCAAGTCTCCCATCCAGTGTCTGAGAGCAATAACCAGCCTGCTGTTGGCTATTTTAAATTGCAATAGCCGGCTGGCTATTGCACCCATCCACTGCCTGCTGTCAATCAGCAGAGAAGGACCTGAAGGAGAGCTTTCTTATTCTGCTGACTGACAGAAGGCAGTGGGCGGGTGCAATAGCCTGCTATTGCAATTTAAAATAGCCAATAGCGGGCTGTCTATTTCTCCCAGCCACTGCCTACTGCATTTCCAGTCAGCTGCCTCAGTGATAACAATAAAGTAAAAAGAAGTTAAAAAAAGTTAAATGAAATTATAAATACCCCCCAAAAAAGTTTAAACGCGAACGCTTGCATACTAACAGAAAGGCAAGTTGGGTGCACCTACGTACGAAAACGATGATTACGCTACACATGTCAGGTGTCGCTGCGTGTGCCAGAATGAGAGCAATAATTATCGGTCCAATATTCATACACACATTCATTCATAACTCTAAACTTATGACTGGGCTTTTATATATTTATTTATTACAGGTATTTATATAGTGCTGACAATTTACACAGCGATTTACACAGTAAACATTCACATCAGTCCCTGCAGGTCCCTATCACACATGCATATATACAAGGGCTAAAAAAGTATTTTTTTGTTTCGACCTGACAAATTCTTCTGCGAGAGGTGCGTTGTGGTGCCTTTCATTTTCAATGGCACCCCAAACGCGCCTCCCGCCTGCAGTATAATCGACTGCACTGGAACGCGCGGTACTGCAATGCTGTACGTTCCAGTGTGGTGCGATTGCAAAAAATGTGCATGCAGTTTTATTTTGAAGTCAACTTTATGTTTGTAACACTCCATTTGTGTATTTCATTTGACATTTTTTTTCAAATGTTATTTTATTTAATTTTTACTGATTAATTGAAAAAACATTTGGCCAACTAATCGACTATGAAAATAATGGTTAGTTGCAGCCCTAAATCCCACCAACAGAAACTCCATTCACGCCAAAGCATAAGTGTAGCCAGGCCATTTAGAGGCTTTTTTTGCACATTTTTCAAGCGTTGTTATGCACATCTTGCAGTACCAGAACAAAAACGTCCGTTTTTGTCGCCATAGACTTTTAAATGGGAGCTTACGTGCATCTTTTAGGTGTTCCCATTAAAGTTTATGAAGCTATAACTCATGATTGTACCCCAAAAGAAGCTCATGTACTTTCTTCAGCTTCACACAACTGGGACAAGCGACAATGCTCCGGTATGAACAGGGGCCATTGAAAACAGTGGGATTCCTCTTATTGAGCGTTGCCGTAGTTCTACAAGATAAGATACCTTTTCTAATGCAGGTTACAGAATAAAAGAAGGTTTATGATTGGTTAAAATTGCCACTGTAGGTTTGGAAAAGTAAAGTGGGCTAAATAGGAGAAGTGGAATAAGTAGCTGACAATAGATCATAGCTACAACTTGGCAGCACAAAAACTATTCATTCCTAATCATATTTCCACTACATGAAATCTCTTTGGTAACATAGTAGCTAAGTGACAAATGTAGGCAAAAACAGATGTCGCTGGGTGCAATTCATTAAGCATATGAACATGTTTGTGTTGTACTTCAGACTGGCTAATGAGAAGCGGATACGCTGTGACAATGCCATTGAATACAGAAATCTGGCAGCATGAACAATTGGAGATGATAAAGAACACAGCACTCCGCAGTCAAAACATTACAGTAAGAGTTCCTACCTGTAATAGAGCTGCAAATAAATAAACCACAATGAAGATGGGAGTCAGGGACGTGTGACCACTCTTCATTAAATAAATGGTGTATAAAAAAATTAAGTGTCCGGGGATGACGAGGGAAAGGAGAACTTGAGCCGACTTCCTATTTGGTCCTATGAAAGAGAAAGAATTGCGTTAGGGGTCTAGGGGTCATGAAGTCATTAAGGTAATGAAATCCTGCTCAATAATGTATCCCTTGTGCTCACTTTCATCAATCATTATTTAGTGATAAAACAAAATGTTATGGTATTTTCAAAGTAGTAATTGGCAACCTTTGTCATGTTACAACTGGGCATGTACATCTTCCAGGCATCTGGCAGGACATATATCTTTAAAATATATGTAATTAGAAGATGCAGTACTCGGGACTTTTCAGCCTTCCTCAGGTTACAGAAACACATATAAAAAGGTCAGTAAGCCTTAAAAAAAGACAACACTAGGACTTTTTGTTAAAGGCAACAAGTACAACTCTTTGGGCAGATTTATTATAACCTAGTACACCAATGAAGGCATTTACTGCATTTTGTATTCCTGACAATAACTCCTTATGCTTATCAATAAAGGCAGGCTGAAATCCATAAAACCTCACCAAGCTCAGGAGTACCTAGTAGCTCAGGAGTGACATTCATTAGTAGGAAAAACTACATCATTTTAGCTGCTGCAGCCCAAGATAAGCAAGTAGGAGTGAGAAACAGTCATAGTGGATCTGCTAACTCCAGACATTTTTTTTTTAGTTACAGATTGAATAGACATCTGTCATGTTTTTATTCCCGTCTGTGGCCCCTGTGATGCCCATGCAAATAAAACAAGGGTTTGTCACTAGCACACACAGCAGTAAAAACTAGTGTCAGAAGTTCCACCTCTTCCCCATTCTAAAAATACATATTTGTCCTTGGTCCTGTTTGAAATATTTCCTATCATTTCCTGTGCTGGCAGGAAGTGGGAGAAAGGACTCCAATAAAGATGTAGAGGGCAATAAAAGATTGGCAGAGGATCCAACACTTATCCCCCCCATTTCCACCCAACAACCTTCCCTCTGTCTCCCCCTCCTCTCAAATGAATAAAATACTTCAGCTGGAGTTGGGATTAAAAAGAAACATACTGAGGAAGTATATTAACTGCCATTACTAAACTTTCCCTCTGAAAACACTAGTTCCCTGGTTGGGAGTCATTGTCCCAAAACATGGATGCAGATTATGAGCTCTGACTGCATTCTTGCTTTCTTAGTCTGCATGCTTGTTTCAATGACTGACTGACTATTTAAGTCAGACTGCTAACATTTTTAGAAGATCGACAATAGCAGCCTTCATATTTGGCCCCTTTCACACATGAGGTAAAGATCAGATCCGCCTGTCAGTTTTTCAGGTGGACCTGATTGAAAGCTCATTGTTAGTCTATGATGTCTACGTGCGTCCAATTAAATCTGCTTACGTCCGTCTAAGGCTGAAATGAAAACGGAAAAGGGTTCAGTTTTTGCGGACCGAAATGAGACGGATCAGAGCTAAAAGGATGTAAACAGATGCACATCCATTTACATCTGCCTGCCCATACACTCACCATGGGCCCGTTAAGCTATGTTTTTTCCCTCCATCACAAGATGAAGGGAAAAAAACTAAACAGACTCAGATGTCACAAAAGTGACATCCTTTCCATTCTGCACCGATTCAGCAGGGAATCTGTTCATGTTCTAAATGGGTTTTTTTTTCAGTTTGGATTTCTTTTAAGGCATGGAACCAATGGCAAAAGAGCTCTTGAAATGGGTCTCTAATTTAGTTTGATATAAACAGCGGAGCATTGACATTTTGAACTTAGGAACACCTAGGGTGTGCTGTTTCTGGACACAGAATGGATTGTGATGATGAAAGCAATCAGGTATTGAATGACTCGGTGGGGACAGAATAAACTGGGATTAGCAGTGTAGAAAAAATGAATGAATAATAATAGAAGAAACTTATTATCGTGATTTTCATTAGACTACAATTAAACATACCTGCTCCACAAAAGGTCCTACAAGGATGGTAACACCCCTTTGCATCTTCTGACAGTTCCCCAGGAATGCTGTGTAAGTGAAGGTAGGTGGAAATCCTGCTGGCCTGAATGGCTACTAAATTTCCTCCAATACCTGCATGAATAAAACAGATGTTTAATGACAAAAGAATACATTCATCATTATCTAATAAACTGATGTTAAATTGTAACTAAACATCACAACTACAATTCATTTAATTTTTTTTTTAATTTTTTTACCCCTTTCATTTTGTTCTGGGGATTTGCACAATGACACACTTCCTGTCCAAGGGTGACAATGTTCACTTACTGTACTGTATCTTTAGAACAGCTACAGGTTTACCCTAGGCTGCTTGCTCTAGCCCCCCTGATTCTCAACTGGTGGGTCGTGACCCAAAAGTGGGTCGCAACCCCATGTTCAGTGGGTTGCCGCATGCCTTCCTCAGTTTCCACCTTTTGCAGCACTGCCTGTTCTTGATCCATTCAAAATATGCAGCCCGGGGCTGAGTGTCAGCTTGAGGTGGGATGGGCTGGGGCTATGGCCGTGAGGGAGCTCCATCCATACGTACAGCTCCCTCACGTGTCCTGTCGAGGTGTCTGGACCAGAGTGATGTCACATTCTGGCTTCCGGCACCTCTACAGGGCACACAAAGGGAGCTGTACAAGCAATGCACAAATGGATGGAGCTCTGTCACATCACAGCAGCCCACACTGGACCCCAGGCTGAGGATCCACTCCAGTTCTGGTAAGGTATAGAGACTGGGTGGATCTTTTAAAAGGCACCCCAAACGCATCTAACACCCATAGTTCGATCACCCGCATCGGAACACATGGAACTGCAATGCTGTGCGTTTCATCGCAGTGTGACTTGGGTCGCGACTTAATGACCAAGGACAAATGTGGGTCCTGAGGCTACACAGAACCACTGCTCTAGACTATAGAACAGCTGACTCTCTCCATAACATAGAGGGAAGGTGTTCTGTAGCGCAAAAAAGCCAACTGGGCAAGGCTGTTAACACTGCTTTGGTCCCCGGTTAAAAACCCAGTCAGGACACTATCGGCAAGGAGTTTGCATGTTCTCCCTGTGCTTGCATGGGTTTCCCCCGGGTACTCGGATTTCCTCACACACTCCAAAGACATGTTCGAAAGGTTAACTGGCTCCTGTCTCAATTGGCCCTGTATGTGTGTGCAATAGGAACCTTATATAAATGCATATAATAAATAAATAATAATCCACAGTCTTTTAATCCAGTATACTAGGCTTTTTAGCTGTCTGAAAAGGTATGATGATGTAGTCACTTGAGGTATCCTAATTATGAACAGACATAAATTTGCACTGCTAGATTCTGTATTTTTTTTTACTTGATGACTGCCGCATTTTGGCTTTGAAGGTTCGCTAGCATACTGTGCTCTTCCAGTGTGGTCAATATGAATTAATCAGCTGCTTTTTCTTTGCTCATTATTGCCTATATGGTGTATGCTTTATTAGAAATGCCATGGGTATGTTATGAAAAAACCCAGTGGGCTTCAAAAGCTATTTGAAACAGCTTTTCCATTAATCCTCAGTGCAAGGCATCCTGTTATGGATGTACAGATGATAGCGTGTGCCCTCCTTTTGATGCTAAAAGCATCCTTTTTCTCAGTTGTTGTCATCCTAAGCGTTTTATCCTTTTCCATATAGGTCATCTGCCAGTGCTGGGTCTAAAGCATGAGTGCCTAAATAAATAGCATAGCAGCCTGCCACAGATCAGGGTGAAACTGCTGAACAGTTAGCAAAGTACAGCAATCCCTTAAAAACCAATAAGCCTTAAACACAATTGGATTTTATAAAAAGTATTCAATAAAATAAAGCAGCTATTTTCTACGTCATTTTAGACCCCCATCAGTCTAGGGAAGCACTTTGTTCTTTACTGTCTTGTGTTTACATTTTTACACCTTTACAGAAAAAAAAGCAATTAATAGATCATTCTCTGCAATCAAGAAGTAAACAGAAGCGTGTTTATCATCTTTAGTATTCCCAGTCCCCTGTACAATTCAATGTGTTGAGCAGAGGACAGCTCTGGCTGTAAATAATGATGCTGTCAGCCCAGATCATGTTCTGAACAGATGATAGGGACTTGGCCAAACAGTCCATACTTCAGACCCTTTGTTGGAGAGAGTTAACTCCGTGACACCCTTTAGAGAGGATGAAGGAAAAGCTGCTTCAATTGGCCGCTGCAGCTCTCGTTTACAAAATGACACCAACGAATGCTACAAGTCATTCATAAAAGCCAGTGACCCTGATACATCTGATTGGACTTAATCTCCAAGCAAACTGGACTCTACATTGAATCAAAGACCATGAGAACTTCACTTAAGTATTTTTCACTTTTATTCAATGCTGTTTGACTGTTACTTATTGTGTGTTTTGTCATTTCTTTGTGTAAATATTTTCTTGCACTCTTTTTTCTCTTCTTTTCATTAAATCGATGTTTAAAAACTATTGAGATGAATCTCTAAATGCTCTAATTAGAAATTAAACTTAAACTTTTGCCTCTTTAAAAAAAAAAAGTTGCTGTATTGTAAACTCTGCTACATTTCTGTCTGGGTGTAGCAGCAAGTGATAGACATTTCTTTTAAAAGGTCAGAACTGCAGCAGCAGATGGTATGAACAGTGCACCGTTCTGTTAAAACATGTGGGGGCGGCCACTCTGTGTGTGTAAAGGGTTAACTGCACAGTTATCCTCCCCCAGTGATGACCACTCTCAAGGCTGCTGGTGTTTAAATTGTTGTCCCAGAGGAGGAACATTTCAAAACAGGGTGGCATCTGTGAAAATAAATGTCACAGGTACCCTTTAGCCTCACTGGAGCCACTTCCTGTCGGCAGGCAAGCACCACTTCTGAGATGATATCACCATGTTAAAGATAATATGAGATTTTGGCGATTGGGTTTGCATCCACGTTAATATAGTTGCAAGAGACTACACAAACACTGCTATTTTTAAGACATTTTATAAAGAAGCCAAGTGTCTAAACACATAAGTAAACACCAGATTAAAGAAAACATGTTAGGTAACTAGAATCTTACAGACTAATGCCTTGCCAAAGAGAAATCTGATATATAGACATGGATGTCACAAGATACCATAAGCAATTTCATATCGAACTGCACAAGGAACCAGTGAAGGGGTTGGTTGAAAGTCAAACATTTCTCTGCGACACAGGACATAAGCGACCTGAACAGATGCAAATCTTCTTTGATGCTTTTGAAGGAATGACATTTGCTTCACATGTCACAGATTTACTTTCAAATATTTACTTGAACATCAAACGTGTAGATGACCCCCGCATTGGTCCAGACAGATACAGCAAATTATGCAATGCACCTCAGCAAAGGGTCTATTTTAGGATAACAGAACATTTCGTCAGCCTGCCAACTGAAATGGTCAATTACGATTGAGTGTATTCTGTACTGATGCTTATAAGGGAAAGGATACTTCATTGCCTAGAAACGAAAAAACTAATAATGTATAATGCATGTTTATCAGCAAAAGCAATACTTAATTAGTACCTGTACTAGGATGACTACTGCCACGTGGCATACGGGTATGAAAAGAAGTATAGTCCTACTAACTGTAACTGCCTGTCCTATTTACCAGAAACACATGCAAATCTCGTCTCATAACCACCTACTAAATTCAAAGCACAGTGTGAAGCATTTACTCTCACATATGAGCAAATAGAAGTATGTAGGCATATTACCTAATGAAAATCATAATGAGATACTAATGTTCCTTTACCTCTAGAAGGTTCCAAATCCAATAAGTGTAACCATAGGACTGAATATTGGCTCAAAATTTTATTTATAAAATATCTAAAGGGTACTCTGGATTGAGATTTAGTGACTGAAGGAAGAGGACACGGCTCTAGGCCAACTCTCTTACTGGGTATTCATTATGGCCAGATTAGTGGAAAGGCCACCCTGTGTTACATAAACAGGGGTAGTAGAGACAGCAACAATAGATCCGAAGTTGGTTGTCTATTTCTGCCTCAATGCACCTAATGTGTTGTCATACTGGGTGAGACTGGCGAAGGGCATTATTACCAATAATGTTCTTATGCCTAGTGTACATTCTGCATCAGAGACCAGAGGAGAAGAGCTCTAATCAAAAATTCAGCTGACAAATGTTTTAGGGGTATCAGGCTGCCCTGTCATTATCTTAACACATTTCAGGACTATCTGAGCATGAAAACATTGTGGGAGGAATTTATCAAAACTAGAGCAAACAGAATCTGGAGCAGTTGCCTATGGCAACCAATCAACATCTCTTAAGTTTGCTCAGGTAAGATTTGAAAATGAAAGAGAGACGCCGATTGTCTGCAGTGCAAATCTGCTCTAGATTTTGTCTGCCCCAGTTTTGATAAATCCCGCTATGTATACTGTATATTTATTTGTCTTGTTAGGAATTGTGTGGCCATAAAGATTTGTACTCCATGTAGTCGGTAAAGAACCATAAGACTGGCCTAAGGGATTGCATTATGTTTTGAAAATGTGTGTATTCTACCATAGGTAAAGGATCAGCTTAACACCCAGGCAACTATTATTTTCGGAAAGATGAAGAAATAGCAGATTTCTCTCAGTAGAAAAATTGGTCCTTAAAAAGGACCAATATTGCATAAAAAAAAAAAAAAAAAAAAAAA